AACAAGTATGTCTATAATGGTCAATATTCAATGTTCCTACATTTCATATTCATGCTTATATCTGTAAGTTCCACATGCATGCAATACTGCATGAATACATGATCACAGAGGACATAATGTACATGTGTCTATAGTCTTTCTCTTCCACAAACCAAGGTGACTTTGAGCACATTCTCCATCTTAAAGCCTTTGATGGAATAGTAAGTTATCTAGTATGGCTTCCCTGAGACAGTAGTCTGACAGTCTTCTACCATGAGAAATCAACCTCAACCCTGTGGCATGAGATAGCTTATAGTGACTCAGGAAAGATGTAGAAAGCCCTGCCTTGGAAAATAATCAATTTTTTTTATTATTTATATTCTACTCTGTCCTAGTAAACAATCTCTTTCCAGATGCCTCATTCATGATAATTACATTCATCAAGCTAAAATTATGTAAAAGAAGTTTCAGAACTGTCCTTGGCTTGTATGAACCCAGCAGTCTCATGGTATCTCTGCTTGCATTTGCTCCACTTAATGGCATGCCATCCGAGGCACAGAAAGTAACTGAGTCTAATGACATACTGCAAGTTCTCCTGTATTTCTTAATGGGCATGTGACCTCCTTTGTGATCTCAGACCAGTGTGTAACATTCTGCAACAGCTCCAGGGCATGTTCTCCCAGAATAACTCACATCAATGTCTCCAGGACACAGCTTGAATGCTTCAGCATTTCACACAGTGACATCACTCCTTTGTTCTTCAAGGGATTTTCAACCAATGAGAGATGTTTCACCTTAGAGTTGATAAGGGAAGTAGCAATTTTACCACATTTCTCACTTGATATGTTACATTTTCCCAACCTACATGTGAGAAACATGTCACAGGTTAGGAATAAGATCTTTAGGTGATCTATGTAAGACTGTCTATTGCTTGGACAAATTCCCCAGATTCTAATACCAGCCCAGACCTATATTACACGCTTATTTAATTTATAAGCATAATTGCTTAGCTATCATAGTGAATTATACAGAGTTCTACTGATTGAGAATAAGCCCAAGCCAGTGGTTTTCAGTGACGGGTGATTTTTACTTTCTAAGATCCATTTGACAATGTTTGGTGATATTGGTTGTCACAACAACCAACAGAGAGAGATAGAGCATTACAGGAATGTAGTAGATAGAAGCCATGCCTTTAATGCACATATTAACCCCATCATTAAAGTATGATCTGCCACTCTATAAGTCTGATTACCCTTAACACTTAACACACACACACACACACACACACACACACACACACACAGAGAGAGAGAGAGAGAGAGAGAGAGAGAGAGAGAGAGAGAGAGAGAGAGAGAGAGAGAGATTTACTTCTTGGATCTCTCACAGTTACCCTCCCTTCTAGATCTCAGGTATCAGTTATAAAGGCCCATGTATCTAACCTATGGCTCTGACCAACCAACTACAGGTTGACATTCTTACATCCTACTCCTTGTGTTTAACTTTCTGAGGATGTCATGAAGCTTAAAGGTTGTTATCTCACATGTCAGTTTAGTATATTCAAAAGATATGATAAGGATAATAGAAACACTCAGAGAGAACATGTACATGGAAAAGATCTAGAAGCATCTGAAGTACAAGAAACTTTGTCTCATGGATGTAGAATGTTCCTCATGGATATATTTGCCAAACTAGAATACCACTGCTCTAAATTTTTTCTATCACCATGTTAAAACACTCTCACCAAAGCCAACAGGAAACCGTTGGGCTGATACTTCCAAGTCACAGCATCATTGAGAAAATCATTGCAGGAAGCTGGATTCAAGAATCATGAAGGAGCTGCTTGCTGGATTGTGATTAGCTAGCTAGACTTATTAGATCAAAACTACCTGCTCAATGAACCATCCTTAGACATAGTAGGCTGGGCTCTCTTATGTCAACTAATCCCTTACCAATATTCCCAATATATCATCCTGTTAGACAATTACTGAACCAAAGGAATCTTCTTCAGGCCAAGTTGACAGAAACTAAGCAGAATGAAAATTCTAAAGTTTGGATATTTTTTAATGGATGATTTACCATGTATGATTGGCTCACTCCAAACTGAACTCCTCATGGAGGATGGGCAATGAGAATGATAATTAAAGAACATGGTGCTAGCTCTGTTTTTGTGGGAACTGGCCACTATGCAGTACCCAACCAAAACTCACCTCATTAGAGTTATAGTTGATGCCATCGCCTGGAAAATGTAGGAACACTCATGTCTGGAATCAAGGCAACAGTCCAGCAGAGGAAATGTTTCTACTACCATCACTAAGCACTCATGAAATTTCAAAGGTTTGTAATTCCTTTACACTGCTGGGGGAAAAGACCAACCTGCATATTGCCTAATGTAAGCCACCATATCACAAATGTTAATGGTGTTAAACACCTGATGGTGTTAAACTTACAAGTGACAGACCATCAGTACCTTGCTGACTTCTCTGCATTCTCGTGCCATTTCCTCATAGCCCAGTTACATAGCTACCTCTGATCTTTCTTCTCTAACCTCCTATCAAGATCCATGTGAAAGTTTTATTTATGGATTGTTTCAATGCTGGTAAGTTTTTACCAAGCATCTCTTCAAGTAGACCTCTGATTTCTATGAGGATCCTGTCTCACACACTAAATAAATATAATATGATCCATATATACTATTATGTTGTTATTCCAGCCATTAGGAAAAAGATAAACCATCAAAAAAGGGGAAATTTTTAGAAGGAAATGGGACTCAACAGAATATATATGGATTTGGCAGGAATATATTATAAACATGACTGAAAATGTCCTAATGGTGGAGCTGGAGATAAGGATCAGCAGTTATCACTTGCTGCTTCAACATAAAACTAGAGTTCAATTCTAGGCACCCAAAAAAGTAGCTGATAATTGCATATAATTCCAGCTCCAGGAAACCTAATATCCTTTCCTGGCTTTTGAAGGCATGAATGAATGCAAGCAAAGAGAAAAATAGTCAAAATGAAATTCATTTTGTACAACATATGCTAAAGAAAAAACCTTTCAAAATTAAGCCCTCAAAGTGCTATTAAAGAATTCATTCTAAGGAAATTACTGTGTGGAAAATGCATTTGCTTACAATAGCTCCTCAACGTTGAATCTTGAACAGCCCAGAACAGAGCATAACACCTCAACCACATTAGAGAGATTAGTGCCATAAAGGTTCAGATATTTCAGGTGAGGTAGCTGAAGAAGGATGTGAAAAAATGAGCCGTCTCCCAAGTAAGTCATGAAGGAACACCTGTAGAATAAATCCAAATGTCACATTATATCAGGATGCGTGGGTCTATGGCAGAGAAACTTGCATAATCCTTCCTTAAACTTTGTCTTACATACTGTGCTTATTTGGGCATCCTGGTTACCCCATAAATTCTTGCTAATTATCTCCAGGTACCAGACAAACACTAAGGCTCAAGCTACTCAGATCTTTCCCTTTTATTCCATTTACCACACCCACTCACATCTGTGTTACACCTAGAACATTGTAAGATGACTCATGGTTATCCTCATAGTAAACTCTATACATTACCTTGTCATGGCTAAATAAGGTTGCCAACTGGTATAAATTTGATAAAGGGAACCTGAATGGAGGCATTTCCTCCATCAGATTGGCATGACTATGGGGCATTTTATTGATCGGTAATCATTGTAGAAATGCATCTGTGAGGGGCATTACCCCTAGGAAAGTAAGTCTAATTTGAATATGAACAGTTGTGGGGGCAGGTCATGGGGAAACAAGTCAGAAAGCAGCATTCCTTTAATTTCTGTTTAGGTTCTTGCTTTCAGGTCCCTGCCCTGACTGCCCTTGGTGATGGATTATGACCTAGGAGTGGTAAAAGAATAAAATAAAATAAGCATTTTTCTCCCCAAGGCTGCCTTTGATCATAGTGTTTATCATAGAGTCAGAAACCAAACAGAATTACATTTTATGTATAATATAAATACTTGAGTTTGTATTAATGTTCCCAGATGTTTGTTTTTGATGTGTTTCACTTTACAGCCCTGACTGTACTAAAACTCACTCTGTAGACCAGGCTGGGTTCAAACTCAGAGATCCACCCGATCTCTGTGTGACCTAACACCAAACTGTGTGACCCTAGTGCTGGAATTAAAGGATATACCACCACCTCTAGGCTTATTAAGTACTAATTTTTTTAAGGCATCACTATCTATAATGGTCATAAAATAGGTTGCAAAGTTTAAGAAAATTAGATATAAGGTTTTTTTTTCTTTTTTGTATTTATTCCCTTTCATTGTGGGAAAAGTGTAACCAAACTTATGTCAGGCCATGTTTCCTCATGATAACAAATATATGTCATTATGATGGCTAAGTAATATTGGGCTAGACATATGGCTTAGTGGTTAAGAGCACATACTATTCTTGCAGAGGACTAGAGTTCAGTTCCCAGGACCCATTGTTGGGAAGCTCACAACTGTTTATAACTCTAAGTTCAGAGAACCCAATTCAGATGTACACATACATATTCACAATTAAACATAATTATAATAGACCTTTAGTTAGCATTCATTGTGATCCCTATAACATAGTCAATCCCTGTTGAGTGTTATTCTAGTGCATACACACACAAGATGTATAGGCATTATAAAATGTATATAAATCAGATGTGTGTGACATAAACCTTCAAATATGTGACTCTTGATACTATTATATTCATTACTTTTGATTTTAGTTCTGCCTTTATTTATGCATGAGACTTCTGCATAAGAAAGAGGGAATTTCTTTTATGTACATAAAGGATATGTGACTATCAAACTTACGACAAGCTGCGGAGCTTAGAAACTGTCTGAGCCAGAGGAGATGGAGACATTGAATTATAGAGATCCTTTAAGGCCTTTTTATTGAAATGACAGCTGTCTAGATCCAACACATGCAAGTTCCGAAAAACATTACAGAGCATAGTCCACTGTGTGTCTATAATTCTGCAATGAAATAACACATCATTATTCTTTAATGGCTCCATTAAATTCAATGTATTCCTAAAACAGGCAGATCAGTCCCAACTCAATCTCAAAGCTGACAGTTACTCTTGATACAGTAAAAAGTTCATACAGGCAAAAACGGGTCAACATAGCAGAGTGATTAAGAAAGTAATCCCCGGGCCAGGGCGTGCCTAAGAGGTTAAAAGCATTTCATGCTCTTGTATAGGACCCATGTTTGATTTCCAGAATCCATGTGGAAGCACACAACTATTTGTAACTTCAGTTCCAGGGGATCTAATTGCCTCTTCTGGGCTTCCTTCATAGGTACTATACTCACATGATACATAGACATATATTCAGGTAATACACTCATAAAATTCAAATAAAATAAATCTTTTTTAAAAAATAAAGGAAAATAGAGGAGAGAGAAGAGATGGGGAGAAGATGCAAAGGGAGTTGATGAAAGAAGAGGAGAGGAGGGAGAGAAAAGAGGAGACAGAGAGAACACTCTGGGATATAAAGTGGCATCTTCTAAGCATGATATAGGCATTGCAGTCCTGATCCACAGCTGTTATGAATGCATTAATTGGCCTGCAAAAGACCAGGCCTCATACTAGTCAATAATAAAGTGGGGAGAGGGTCACATAGATCAACTCATCCCAGCTGAACTGTTGATTTCTGGAGAAGAGTCACCTTTAGTGTTATACTAACAAGTGAGCCCACCAAGGTCTAACACACTGTTCCAAACCTATTGAGTCACTGAGTTTAACCCTAAACTGCATAGCTGACAAAACAAAAAGATGTCAGTGTGATTAAGGAACTTGTAAAGAAGTCAAGTGATGAGATAGAAGAGAAACAGAACTGAATAGAAAGTGAGAGTAACCAGAATACACTATATATCAGAGTGAAACTACAAATCAATGCACTGAAAAAATTATAATAAAGAGATGTGGCTTGAAATGAGATAAACTAGAATTGAATCTCTGTTGGAAATTCACTATTACTATCTATGATTCACAGTTGAAGGCATCCAACTTTACTGGATCTTCAAGTACTTCCTCTTTTAGTGAGAAAACATGATTTCTATGTTAACTAGTGTAGATATTTGGGACTTCTAAGGGAAATACATACTATGTTGAGTAAAAGATTTACACATTTTGATCAAGTATGAGCTAGCAGACTAAATTCAATGTGAGACAAGTCAACTAATACAATGTAGTATGAGTACCACCTTAAAACAGACACAAATTCCCAAATCCTCTCCAACATAATCACCAGGACACTCTAAACTCTATGGACAAAGGAAAAGTGTCAGGCACTGTGATGGAGATGCTCACATTTCTACCTCACACTGGCCCTATGACAAATTTCTTTTTTGTATAAATGGAAGAACTTAAGACATGGCTGTTCAGAGCCACACAGCTCAAAACAGCAGTAACAAGGCTCAATAGAAAGCCTTTCTGATTATACCATCTAAACAGTCAAACATAGACATAAGAATTTTACCATGCTAGAGAGAGGGTTGGGTGGGTAAGAATATTTTCTGTGCAAGCATGAAAATCTGAGTTCAGATCCACAGTACTGACATAAGAGGTGGACATGGTTTCATTAGCCTGTTGCCCAGCATTAGAAGATGGAAATAGGTAGCTCCTTCTATCTTACTGGTCAGTTTGCCTTGTCAAGATGGTGAGAGACTGTCCTAAAGGATTAAGGCAGAGAACAATAGAGGAAGACACTCCAAATCTTCCTCTGGCTTCATCATGAATTTACTTGGATACATCATGGACACATCTATAAAGTATTGCTCTGGACAATAAAGCAGAAGTGAAAAACAATAGGCAAGGCTTAGAGACATACTTACTTTTTGCATAGTTCTAAGTTATCATGTTTAAAGTCTTTGATTTCTGTAAAAATTCTCCTTTGTATATGCAGGTGAAGATTTTTTAATTTTGGTGTTCTCTGCAGACAGTACCGAGCTGCTGACAAATCATCAACATCACTAATATCGATAGTAATTTCTTCAAATCGTTCCATCACTTGTCCTACAAAACTTTCCTCCTGGTTGTCAAGTATACAGAAGAACAAAGTCCGGGGATGTACCAGTTTCTCATTGTACTCTTGTTGACTGAGACTGTTAAAGTATCTAATAATTTCCTGTCTTACTTCATTGATTGACATAATGCCAAAGCATGGTTCAAGCAAGGAGGCAACTTTCTCAGTGGCAATTCCAAACAATAATATCCGTGTCTGGAACAACTGGTTATGTTTATGAGTATAGATTTCTTCTAGAAGTTGAGGTAGGCTTCCAATAACTGGGTGATGTTTGTCTTTGTCTTGTTTGAGAAAATAGAACAGGATAGCAAAGTACCACTGTAGTGTAGAATGATAAAACACAATGTTGTTACCTTGATTCTGTAAAAAATTCATTCTCAGCCACACTGTCTTATCTGATTCAGATATCCTGTTCCTCCTGAGGTCCTCAGAGTCAAACACAGACACCTTTTTCCACATTCCTTCTGCAGCCAAGGTGCACAGGGTCTTTAATAGGGCCCTGTTTTGTTTAGATGGATTCCTGGCAAATATTGATTTGAATCCACTCACCATAAATACTGAGTAGACCAATGCTACTGTTTTACCAAAAAGTTTCACTACCTGTCTCCTCTCATACTGCCACTTTAAAGAGCTACAGATCATCCAGCATAGAAAAGGATTGGCGCATAAACTGTACACTGAATGAATGTTCCTTAAATTCTCAAGGACATCTATGCCTGTCTGGGTATTGAAGAAGGACACGCAATAGAATTCTATAGTCTGTTCAGAAAATGGTGAAGTAATTATATCCCTTGGATACTGCAGCAAAGGAAAAATTTTTGAATAGCTTGAGTTTCCCAATTCAAGAAGCAGAGAACATTCTGGGAGCATTATTTTCTGTAGCAAACTACTCAAGACGATTTGTGTTGGCAGCCTCTTTCTCCAGTCATTGCACAAGTTTGTCCTGAGTTCCAAGTCCAATTTCAGGTAATCAAATCCATCCAGGATAAATAAGATTCTCTTTGGATCAGATAAAATGTCATCTAGTGTCTCTGAAGACTCAGGCAACTTACTTGAGATAAGCTCAGCTAAGCTTAACTCTGTGGTATTGTTAAGTGAGAAGACAGAGAAGAAGAAAACATATCGAAATCGGTTCTGCAATAAATTTCCTGATGCCCAATCCAACATTGCTTTTCTTAAGAAAATAGTTTTACCTCCTCCTCTAGGACCTGATACAAATGCAGTGACTGGCTCTGACTGAGAATTAAATATGCCCTTCAATGTTCTGTACTGGAGTTTTATAATTGCGTGGTAGCTTCTATCAGGTATATGAGTGTGGGTCTCAAATGTCCATATGTGTTGAAATGTATTCTTCATAAATTCTTTGTACTTAGATTGTTTCTCTAGATTTGATAAAATCAGAATAGAGGGCAATTAGGAATAGAATACTCCTAAGAATGAATCACAGTATTTTTTAAATACATGTCTAATGAATGATCTACAGTTCTCCATGATCTGTGAAGCCATGGGTTGAAAGAAAAGGAAACAACCCACTCCTTCCCCTGCAATAACTTCCTATTTCCATTCAGGTGAGCCTGGTGTAGGTATTTCTTTTCCATTGCACTACAAACAGAATGGTTAGGACCCCACCCCAACCACCCAACCAGTTCTTTCTATACCCACGCCTCTAGATAGAAAACACTATTGCATACAACTATTTCCATGATTGTGAACAGAAGCAAGGCCTCCAATCTCAATGCTAGATGTGGCATATTACTATTTTAGGGCCAATAGAGATAGGAAATCTTCATGAGGCAGGGACATTTAAAACAAACTAAACCCTGGAACCCAATCTAAAGTCAATTGTCTCCCATATATGGGGCTCCTTCTCTACCTGAAAACTCTATAATGCCAATAAATTTTGATTTCACATTCCCTGGAACTCTTCCTGCCTGTATTGTTTTAATTCACAAAGAAAAGGAACTCAGCTAGTCAGTATCATCTTGTGGGTGACTAATGTGGGTCACAAACTTGGTGGTTTTCCTATATCCAGAGTTATAATAGATTTTATATATTGCCTTAAAAGCATTGTGACCAAACTTGCAACTCATCTCTGAACAGCAGCTACTGTAAAGCATGAATTCTGGGTATTTATTGCATTTCAAATTTACAAAGTGTCTCCCTGGGAGGAAATCCATTAAGTATTTCACTTGTACATATTTTTATGAGGTATTACTCATATTGTTTCTATTTAGTCTAAAACTTTCCTATCTTCATTAAGTCATTTAAGAATCATTATATTTACATTATTTTCAATTTTATAAACATGCTTATAATTTTATGCTTAGTCAAAGCAAGATTTGCTTCGGGTAACAAGACAGTGAAACAAATTTTTGGGTTATAGGTTTTCAAGTCTATGAGCAACAATTCTTATCAGGTTGGTCTTGGTTAAAATCATATAAATCTTGTAGTTTTACCTACATTATTTAATGGATCTAGGTAAGTGTCCTCTAACAAATGAGATTGAGAAATTGCTTCTCTGGTTATTAATGAAAGTAGGTACCAGACAGCTAAGACATGATCAATACTGCACTTGGATATTTTCTTATTAGCTTCTTCTATTGTCTGGCTTTCTGAAAGCAGGAACCTACTGCCCTGAGATTTACTGGGACTTGTGTCAGTAATTGGTGCATTAGAGATGTTTGGTAAGTTAAGAGAAATTGTTGTTCTTCCAGGAGATCTGGGTTAAGTTCCCAGCCATGACAAAGCCACTGACAACTATCTGTTATGTTCAGCTTCAGCGATCCCAGCCCTCTCTGGCCACTACAGGAATTCCCTGCATTTGGTACATTTTCATATGTGTAAATAAAACACTCATATAATAAAAAGATATATTTTAAAAACAGAAAACAATTTGTATAGAATTTTAAATCTATTATGTTTTTATTTTATTTTGTAAAATATATTTTCTATATTTACACATGGTAAAATGTTCAGTGTTGAGCTGTCAATATTTCTTAATGAATGGGGCACCCTGGACCAACAATCAGCTCCAACAATTTGTCCTCTATTCTCCACATGCACTCAATTGTATACATACACTAACATTTAAATACATAAATATGGGTTGGAGTAGCAGCTCACAGGTTACAAATACATACTGCTTTTGCAGAAGACCTGAATTCAGTTCTGAGCCCCAATATAATATAAAATGGCCCACAAATTCCTGCAACTGCAGATCCAGAGGATCTGATGCCCCAGAGTGCCAAAACCCTACACTCATGACACACATCCACATGTTGATACACAATACATAAATATAATTAAAAATAAACCTAAAATAGTAATAGTGTAAAAATTATATTTCAAGAATTTATGTGACAGTAAATTTGGATAGATGAATAAATATCAGGATTGGGTTAAGTTTTACTGCTTAATTTGAAACTATAAGGTCTAGATTATTTCTATTAAATAAAATTTTTGATTAAGAATTTTTTTCTGTGCCCTCTGTGTTTGTTGTCTCACTCTGTGCCTTTGTGTCTCTACGTAAATAATAGATAATACCATTTGTATTTTAAAATTTGTCATTGAGAGGGGGAATTCTGTCTTCTGGTATGGGTTAAAACCCAAACCAATAATGCCTCTCAACAGTCAAGACAACTTTCCAAGGACAAAATTGCACATCCTGGAACACTGATATTGCTATGGCTGGGAAGGCTTGTTATTGGATGAAAAGATTGCAGACTGCACAGGTCCACAGAGGACAGCCACTTAACTCAATCAGTCTACTAGTTTCTACTATGTGGTTCATGTTGTCATGGTTCTTGGGTTTATATGGCCTAGCATTTAGTTGAGTGGAACTTGCCATGTGTTTGACTTCTTTAAAAAAAATGAAGACAGTGTGCATATTCAATCAATCAAATGGTTATTAAAAGAATATCATTATATCCCTAAGGTGTAACCAAGCAACAAAAAAGTCCCAGCAAGTTTGTAGGAATAGCTCCAGCTCCATGGCCCAGTGTCTCCCATCCTGTAAGCATGCCTAATGTAGTAGCCTAAACAGGACAAAAACTTAAGCTGATATTAGCTAGAATTCATCCTCCTTTAATCTAGTTTTTTTCTTTTCTGATTTTAGAGACAGTCTTATGTAGCCCAGAATGTCCATTGACCTCAAACTAGCTATATAATCAAGAAGCAGTAGCAATAGCTAGAATGGCATAGCTGTAGTGGTTTGGACAACAAATACAGGAACAAAGATGGAGCAGAGACTGAAAGAATGACCAACCAATAACCACCCCAACTTGAGAACAATCCCATGGGAAAGCATCAATCCCTGACAGTATTTATGATACTCTGTTACGGTTGTCTAGTATGGAATAGAGGAGTCTAGTCTGGCTGTATTCTGGGAAGCTCCAGCCACCAGCTGAAACAGACAGATGCAAGAATCCTCAGCCAAATAGTGGATGGAGCTTGGAGACTCTTAAGGAAGAGTAGTAGGAAGGATTGTGGGTCCAAAGAGGATAGGAACTCCACAGGAAAACCAATAGAATCAACTAACCTGGACCAGGAACCAAATTTCACACACAGGCTGGACTTAGGCCTTCATGCACATATGTAGCAGATGTGCAGCTTGATCTTCACGTGAGTTCCAAACAACTGGAATGGGACCTATCCCAAATGCTGTTGCCTGTCTTTGGGGACATGTTCTAGCTAGGCTGACTGGTCTGGCCTCAGTGGGAGTGGATGCATCTAGTCTCAGAGAGACTTGATGTTCCAGAGTAAATCCCAGGGGGCTCCATCCTCTTAGAGAAGGCAAGAAGGATAGGGAGAGGATTATGGGAGGGGGTGACATGGTTGGAACAGTAAGTGGGATTTAAAGTGAATAAAAATGAACTGACACCTAAAAAATATTGTCCCCCATTGCCTGGTATATTTGAAAATTTGTACCCCAGTTGATGGGATGTTTGGGTAGGTTTAAGAGGTGTGCCCTTTCTGGAGAAGGATGTGACTTGGTACAGGCATTAAACATTTATAGCCTTACCTCACTTTCAGTTCACTACCTCTGCATCATGCTTGCAGTTAAGGTGTGATCTTATCTTCCTGTTCCTATCACCATGCCTATGTGTTATTATGCCTCTCTCCATAATGAACTCTTTGGAGTCCACTATCACTTTGGAACCATAAGCCAAAATTAATTCCATGAGTTGCTTTTGGTCATGGTGTTTTATCACACCCACGAAAAAGTAAACTAAACAATGGCCACATGCAGTTATTCTCAATATCTTATATGTATATGTCTACATGATCATTGCCAAATAACTGATATCCTTATCTCCATGAGGAAACAGATAATCAGGTAGTGATAATCATCTTGGTGCTTCTGAATAGAAAACAAAACATATAACTAAGAACCAGCCAACAAAAGCATGTGGTTTGGCTGAAGATTTTGGATGGATACTTCTGATATTTACAGCATCAGTTAAATCATAATTCTGTCAAAGTGTGTATGAACAACAGTCAGAGACACGGAGATTGTTTTAATGCCTCTGAAATGTGAGGTGATTTACTGGTAAAATATTCCCTCCAGAAGACTTGACATGCTCTACACCTTGAGATATTCTAAAGTTGCAAATCTGAAGTCTTCTTTTACTGTCTTGAGAAATTCACAGGACACAAAGGTAAGGTCTTTGTGCAAGGAAATAAGGCCTACCCATTCATAGCACATGTCTGGTAAAAGAATAAGTAAGTACATGATAAAACTTCATTGCAGCTGATTCTAGCACTCAGTATCTGAGAAAACAGAACTCAGGATGTTAAAGAAGAAAACCATGAGTTCAAGTCATGTCTAGTCTACATAGTAACTTTGAAGCCAGACTTAGCAACATAGTGAAACATTTTCAATATGAAAAACAAACAAAAGAAGGAAGGAAGGGAGCAAAGAAGGGAGGGAAGGAGAGAGGAGAGAAGGGCTATGGAGAGAAAGAAGGAAGGAGCGGGAGGAATGTCCATTTGTTGTTTTGAATGCTATTTAAAAAAAACAAATAAATGAGCAATTTTCTTGACTAGCTAGAAAAAAACAATATTAATATTAATATTAGTATCTGCCTTATTAGTTTCAATCAATTCTACATTTTCTTTTCTTGGTAATGGACATGTGCATTAGGACACCCTCCCTGACTCCAGTTAAAGGATAGCCTATATATAACAATCATTGCTTTCCTCAAACTTTTCAACTAACGGACAACTCAACATTGACATCACTTTCACATTATGGGTGTTAGCTTGGTGTTTTTTATGAGACTTCTACGAATAATCATAGGGGTGTCTTACTCTTTCATATCCTCTTGGGACACATTTTCTCCTGTTTGCTTGCCTCATCCAGTCCAATATCAGGGTTTGTGCCTAGTCTTATTGTAACTTTTTATGCATGTTTGATTGATAGTCTTGGTAGGACTGCCCTTTTCTGAAGGTAAATGGAGGAGCAGTGTATGTGGAGGAGAGGAGAGGGAGAACAGGGAAGGTGGGAGGAGGGGAAGCTGTAGTTGGGATGTAACATTTTAAGAAAGAATCTCCTACTTGGCTAACTTTTCTTGTCAGGAGCCATAATGGGACAAGCTAATAACTAGCAGGTGATTGTCCTGAGATGGCCTGCTTCGGATTGTTATATAATCTGCGACAGGTTTGACCTTATTAAGCAAGGTTGTAAGGGATTAATTTTATCAAAGATTCATGCTATTAACATGCTTTTCCTGTTGTTATTAAACATATGTAACAATCACTAATAGCCACCCATTTGTAGCAGATTTCTGCAGATCCATGAAGATGTACTGTCTTGTAGTGATGCTATATAGACAAATAGATGACTTCTTAAGTCTTAATGATGATCCTATAAGAATTCTTAAAAAATAATATCAGTGATTACCAGTGATTTTATTAAGTTCTTTAATGGTGGGACTACTATTAAGTCCTTTTCTAATAATCAAAACTGCAATGAGAACTCTGTCAGTCTCCCAGGTATCACCACTTAATTGCTCTTAGATAGTAACCAGACTTTCTCCTACTCAGAGCACATTCCAAGAGGTTGTAAAACAGTTAACCAAAGGTCATAAAAAGGGAACTAATGATTTGTTTTAGGTGATAGGACAGAAGATAAAATATTGACTGGATTTTATCTATACAAAACTTCATTAATAACTTAGATATGTTTTTAAACTTTTAGTGAACCTGTAGAGCTGTGACAGGTGATAGATGTTTAGCCAGATAATTAGCACTAATGGATATGCATGTAAACATCTCTGTTGTAAACTTCTGTTTCAATTTATAATTTGATTTGTGTGTGAACTTGTGATAAACTTTGTAACATGTGGTCATGTATTCTGAAAGATATTTAAGTGCTGAGGACAAAGAGAAGAGTCAGAACTGAGTTGAGCAGGACTGAGCTGTGAGAGTGAACAGAGATGAAGAGAAGTTTTTAGACAGAATACTTTTTAGACAGAACCGAACTCAAAAAGAACTTAGAAGTGTAGCTTCGGGAGAAAAGGCATTGAGAGTAAGAACACTGTAGCAACTTCAGAGCAGAAGACAGTAAGATTAGAATGAGAATGCAGAGTGGAATAACTTAGAAGCTATAGGTAACATAAAAAACTGAGATAGTGATGTGCAGAATGCAGAGGAAAAGAGGCAAAAAGCAGCAACTTCAGAGAGCAGAAGGAACAGGCAGCTTCTCCTTACCATGGGACAGAACAGGTCCTTTCCTAACAAGGCACTCTTGGTCTTATTAAAGGTAACAAAGCTTTTTTCTTACAAATGTGGGTTTAATTCATTTAGCATCAATAGGGTAGAAGCTTTTTTCTTTTTCTAGGCAATAAAGACTGGTGCTCATTTTTCACTCAGAATGAATGAGTTCTTTCTGCACAGGTGCTTAGTCTTTTGCTCCATCAGCATACGTAACTATGGCTGTATCTGTAAGTATGTAATTGTGAGAATGTATGCATGTGTGTAAGTATGTAATTGTGAGAATGCATGCAAGCTGGACCAACCGGTTTGAATGAAATGCATAAATGTATGTGTGAATCATGAATCTGTATATGAACTTATGCGACTTTATGCATATTTGCTGTGTAAAAGTCTTTTCTTTCTGCCAGTGTTATTCTTTTCTCCTGGTTCAATAGAAATTTATTGCTCCAAACTTCCCCCTAGCCTGGCAAGCAAAAGGCATCTGGACAAAAGGAAAAAGGTTCTAGCAATTAATCCTTTACTTAATCTCCTGCTGTTTCAGGGTGAGGTGCTAAGTGCCAGAAACTGCAGTTTCTGGCCTCAGAGCATCACAGAAGGCAGTTCAGCTACAGTAGCATAGTAACTTTGACTTAGATATGTAAACTTTCTCTTGTTATACAGCAACCCTAAATATCTCATAAGACAAAGTCTTACCCTACATGGATGCTCTTCCCCCTCCACTGCCTCATGAAGAACCAACAAGAAGGAAGAACCCACTCCGGAGCTGGACCCTGGCATTTCCTCATGAGTCCCCTTTCTCCCTGTATTCACTTACCTCTCCTTTCCTGCTGAGCCATGATTGAAAGGTCTTCCCGATTGACTTGTAGAAACAGGCTCAACACTATATCCCATGCCTTTCCTGGATAATGTGTGTTCAATTTCATTACCAGGTCTTCTTTGAACGTGTTCCCAATCTTAGTCCAGGAGATAGGTTTGAGTTTAAATTTCTCTAGCTCTTTCCATAGAAGTTCCTTAAATCTCTGGAACTCTTCATCACTGAGTTTTTGCAAATACTTCGTCAAGCCATAACCAGATGAATCCATCATCCTGGGACAGTGATCTGAGACTCGAGAGGTTGACAAATCTTCAAAACCAAGAAATAAGTGACATTCAAAGAAGAATGACATGAGAGTCCTGTCTCAACAACTTAAAAAAGAGTCAAAGTTATTAATATCATGTGTCCCTTCTTTCAGATATATGTAGATTCATTTTTCACCCTTTCACTATAATTTATATAAATCCATTGTTAAAATTAATGGCCAGACACTAGTGGCACACACATTTAAGCCCAGCATTTGCAAACAGACCAAGGCAGGAGGATTTCTGAGTTTGAGGTCAGTCTGATCTAAAGAGTGAGTCCCAGGACTGCCAGGTTACACAGAGAAACCCTGTGTGTCTTGAAAAGCCAACAAAAACAAACAAGCAAGAAAAAAAAACAAAAACAAGAAAACAAAACCCTCTTTATACTAAGGCCACCATCAGAGAGAATGGTAAACAACTGAAAAAAATCAATAAAGCAGTAGAGTTCATCAATAGAGTCAAGGAAGTATGGTTGACTTCTCTATAAAAAATTAACACACTGTTTGATACTGGATAATTAAAATTTCTTTGGTCTATGTTGAATAAATCAAATATATTATTAATTAAGAAAGTTTGTTTGGGCGGTCTTTGTATGTATGTATGTTTATGCACTGTTTGCAGGCAGTACACATGGAAGCCAAATGAGGACATCAGATCCCCTTGGACTAGAGTTAGAGTTGGCTTTTTGTTACCATGTTGGTAAGAAAAATAGACCCCAAAGGGGTGGCAACCCAGAAGTTGAGAATTACTGCACTAGAGGGTAATATTCAAACAGAGTAACAAAATTTTCAAAAAGATCACATGGAACTCAGAAAACTGATTAGGATGGCTCCTATTCAACACATAGTGAAGTTTCATGAATACACATGTAAAAAATGAAGTTGGGTAATTGAATTTACAACAGATCCAGTTTAACTCCAATCAGACAAAGATTGATAATGCAATCATTTCCCCCTTCCTGCATGGCAACTCTGTCCTAATATACTGCCACATATAATCACATAAATCAGACTACTGCCACATCTGTCTGCATAACAGTTTTGAATCTTCTAAAACTGAAATCATATCAGTTAAATGAGAAGCTCACATTTCTTGACAATTGCTACTGTACATTCTATCTGGAGGGGTTTCTTTCTACCCAGTTGTCTTTGATTTATCATTTGAGACAGGGTCTTCCTGATGTTGCCTTGCCTGATGTGGAACTTGATACATAGACCAACCTTACTTCAAACTGAGATTTCACCTGCCTAACTTCTAATATTTTATGGGATTAAGGGTGTATTCCATCACACCGGTCATTTCATAAAAGTGATACATATGCTTGCATGCAATGAGTTTTATGGCTATATTTTCATATAAACATATAATATACTTGAAGCTGCTTTTTCCAACATTCTTTTACCCTCTGTCTCTCTCCTTTTCCCTATTGGTAATCTCTTTCATTCCCCTAGACAATTTGCTTCTACTTTTTGGTCATATATTATATAAAATTTTATAAAGAGTATCATATATATATATAATTTTGAACATCTATATAAAAATCCTACAGTCCAAAAGTTAGAGAAAATGTGCCACATTGTCTTTTTGGTCTGATACAATATGTTTAGTATCAATCACCAGTTATATCCACTATCCTACAAAT